GTGTGTGTGTGTGTGTGTGTGATATATGATGTCAGTTTGATGAGTCTATGTGTCCCTGCAGACCTCTACGCCGCATTATATTTTACTATGAGTTGTCAATGTGCATGAGCTTTCAGATGAGCATGATTGCATTTAGCCGGTGAACTGATTCCCATTGCATCCTGCCCATCAGATGATGTCTTGCACTCTGCAAAGAATGAAAGATGCACGTGGCTGAGACAGTCTAAAGTTGAAGGTGAGCAATTGAAGGACACTATATCTGCCGCATTTCCTACTTCCTGGTTCTCCACTCAGGTGATCTACAAGGGGGAGGGGGGAAGAGCTTCCAGAGCTCCTCTGGTGGGACGTCCTTGCAGAGGAAAGCTGCAATGTACAGCAAAAGAAGCACCATTGTCCCCTTCTTTCTGTGTAAAACCTCTAGAGGTCACTGTGGCCTCAGCCCCACGTGACGGCCGTGCAGGTGCAGCAGGGACAGAGCAAGAAGCAGATCCCAGGAAGAAGTGGTAGGAAGACAGGAAGAGGTGCAGAGACAAGGTGACTCCTCTGCATGCAGGCAGAGATCAGTTAATGAGTGCAACCTGAGCAAAGTCCACACACATCTGCAGACACACAGAAAATGTTTGCATCACACATATCACACAATTTTTAACAGCTAGCCACATGATGCCCTACTTACTTCAGTGACATTACATATTTCATACCTCAAGATGTGATCAGCTGTCACTCATTATAATGGCTGACAGTATCCCACTCCGACTGGGTTTACATCTCATGACCAAAAGTTTGCAGACACTCGAACATTACATCCGGATATGGTTGCCGAACACTTCATTCAAAGACTGTGCAGGATATGTCTGGTGATTTTCAGTAAATCCCTCACTGGACACACTGTGTGTATTGATCATGCCTGACTTGTTTTGTTGCACTAGGTGACACTCCTTCATTTCCTTCATTTCCTTCATTTCCATGAACACACATTGTAGTTTGTTTTAACTCACTTCCACACACACACCACAACTTTAAATACACTCAACAGCAGCAAATGTGGATTCATCTGCTCCAGAAAATTGTCCCCAACAAAAGTTCCATCTCTTTCAGTTTGAGTAGCATATGTTTATTGATTTGGAAAATTAAACCATATACTTGTGAATTGCTGTTTATATCTGTAGGAAGAGCAGCAGACAGGGAAGGACATTATTGAGAGATGAATAAAGACAGCTGTGGTTTTGGTCTGCTCATCTGATTTGTTTAATGCACAAGCAGCTCTAATGCTTATTGATTAATAATCTTTTAGTTTTATTGAACAAAAGAACAAATGTAATAATAAACCCTCTGAGGTTTCAGCGGGAGAACAACAGCCCGGAGCAGAGACAGGTATAAGGAAGTGTACTTCAAGTGAGACCTTTTGACCTCGACCAAGGAGGTTATGTTTTCACCAATGTACGTTTGTTTGTCTGTCAGCAAGAATCCAGAAAAACAACCAAATGTAAAACGGGACATAGGCCAAGATATAATCTATTAAATGTAGGTACGGCTCTGGATAATTCATGGATTTTGATGATAAATATTTTTGACTTGTACAAGTTGGTGTGGATCAGAATAATGGGGGGGTGGGGGTAGGGGGTGTAATGGGTAAATTTGCTTTTCATTACAATATTTTTGTGTTACATTGCAATAATATTTTAAATTTCATTAAAGTTTATCGCTGCTGTTCGTTAGCCTGTGGGGCTACAATTGTGGATAAGGCCACAGTAGCTGTACTGCAAATATGTAACACGACTACCCTGGCATCACCACATTGGTTCACAAATGCAAATGGATCCAGGGGATGTTATCAATGTTTTACAACCAATCAGAGCAATGAAACATGACGAGGCAAATGCTTTTTTTTAACATCAACTGCAGCAATGTTAGTTGTTAGAGACACTCATTGGGCGCTCCTCTGTCAGTCACTTATAAACCTTCCCCCCATTTTACGGATAATTGGTTGTGATTGGGCCGACCAGTTTCAGAGCAGATGGAAATAATAATAATATTATTATCTCTCTTTAACTGCACATACCTGACAACTAATCAAACCACATGCTGCCATTTTCCCCAGGAGGACAGATGAAGGACAGGTCAGGGGCAGATTGTCCTCTTCTAAACACAGACTTTGTTGACACTGTGTACAGCTGACTGGTGATCCCTAACAACCAGTTTGTTGTCGTCACAATAGAAGCCGATGATGCGAAAATGTCATTATTAAAATTTCATGAATGGAAATAAACCGTGTGTTTTTCAGGATGAACTTTCCTTATGCACCAGAGTCTGTTAATGGTTGTGTGTTTTTTATGACTGCAGGTCAGAGTGGTTGTGACAGGGTGCGCTGGGTGACATTCACCTGTGCTTCAAGGACATCATGTTCTCAGGTAGACTCTCAGCCTTTCTGACGTCGCTCTACCTTTCAGCAGGTGTTAATATGAGGCTGCGCTGCTCTGCCACGGGACTGGACCTCTGCTGCGGACACTGGGATCTGCCCAAGTTATGTGTCCTCTCTGTAACAGAGAGGACACATTCATTACAATGTCATGAAGTCAAGGTTAAGACTTCATAACCCACCCACGGTTCTGCACTGAGGGAAAACCAATGGGA